ATGAATGGACACTGATCCGAATCGCCGAATAATCAGCTTCATAGGGGAATACAGTGGGCTCCTAGGAAACCCGAAGGAAGGGTTCGCAGTCGCAAATGGGAAGCAGCAGAGTGGGTACTGGCCAGCATGTATGGCACGGAGCCTAAAGAAAACGAAAATACGTTATGGGGAAATAAATAGCCCCGAAACATCCTAGAACAAAACCATAGGAGATTTCCCGCGCTTGGCATGCCTAGCGAGCTGGACGCAGAGGACCCAGAACCCGGAATCATGTGGTTTTGGACCTACCGACGCCACCGATGTCTGCTGGGAAAACCCAAAGTGCCCGAAAATGTTCCAAGGGGATCGCCTCAAGTACGCAGTCTTCCGAAACTCATTCAGGTTCACGGGTTCGTGGACGTTTTACATACTGCTCGCGTTTCCTTTGGCATGTGCGAATGGGAACCAGTGTGAGATAACCCCCTACAGAAGGGCCAGTCTAAGCGGAGTTTGGGGCCTTAGGGATCATGTAGCCCTCGGAACTTGATCCCACTCACGTCAGTAGATGCACTAGTCCAGGCCAGCAGCTCTGCTTCTTGTGCCCCCAACGACAACACACACGCAGACGAAAAACACAATTGTGAGGCTTAGTATGCATTGACGTCCCCTCATACGATGGGGTGATGCGTCATAACAGTAGAGGCACGCGGGCCCTGTAAGCTGATGAGAAGTGGCGGAGAGCCCTCACTACGTCATGCAATGCTGAGATCTGGTCAAGATAACTTAGAGTATTTCTCTTTAGTACAAACATTTGCAGTTAGCTTTACGTATTACTAGGTTGTGTCTCTGAAGAACTACCGTGGAGCCCATCCCGGGAACCCCACAGCTGAGTATAGCGAGCTGGCAAGCAATATATATCATACTTAACAACAGCATATCAAACTAACAAGGGTTCAGGAAATTAGTTCTCTCAGTTTATTCTTCAAAATTGTTCTCCCCCGACCCCGATAGAACCGGCACTGCGGCCTTTGGGGCTGGGATGGGAGAGGAAACCGCGTAGCATGCTGCAATACCTTTTGCACCAAGGCTCATGCCAACCTCTCCTATAATCATATCGATGGTCACTCCATAAAGAATGTTTAATGCATTCACCAATGTTATATTCAATGTACATCAATAAGCGCTCACAGACACTTCCACTATTCATACAACCCTCACTCATTTCACAACGAGCACGGCATTGTTGCCGTGATTATAGTGAGTACTCACTACAGGATGCGTCCCACCGTAGTCCTTCAGAGATACAACCTAGTAATACGTAGAGGTAACTGCAAATATTTATACTAAAGAGAAATACTCTAACGTTATCTTGAACAAATCCCAGCATAACATGTGAGGGACTGAGGGATTTCCCCACATCGCATCTGCTTACAGGGCCCGCAGTACCTCCAGTGTTATGGAATCGCATCACCCCATCGTGCGAGGGAACTTGAATCCTTACTACGTCTCACAATTGTGTTTTTCGCTTGCGTTTGTGTTGTCGCTGGGGGCACAAAACGCAGAGCAACGGGCATTGCCTGGTGAGTCTATTGAGTAGAGGGGCACCAATGCGAGCAAATCCAGGGACGAAATTGCAGTAGTATAAGGAGAGCAAGAAAGACTTCTGAACGCCTGTCGGCGTGTACAGCGGTAGGGGCCACCTCTGAATCTCCTCAATCTTAGCAGGATCTTGTTCATGCCCTGCCGCAGAGACACAAAACCCTAAGACACTGATTGTTTGCATGAAAAACGAATACTTCTTGCTTTTACGAACCATAGCTTCTCACGTACTAGTTGCAGCGCCCGTTGGAGGTCCTGCAAGTGTTCCTGTGGGTTTCGGCTGAAGACTAGCCCACTATCCACGTATATTACCATCCACCCTTCAGCGATTGGTCCCAAGAAATCGTGGTTAGCCCGCCGCTGCAGTTTGGCAGGTGCATGGACGAGTCCAAAGAGCACACAGGTGTACTCCTACTTGCGGGTGCCGGTGTGGAATGCCACCTTGTATCTGTTCTCCAGATTAATTGATATCTGCAAAAATGCTTCAGCGAAGTCAAATAAAGAGTATACCGCTGAACCCTGTAAACTGTCAAGACTTCCGTCAATCCTGTGCGTCAGGCTGAAGCACCCCAACAATATCACAGTGAAACAGAAGTCGACATGCGCCACTTGCCGCCCGTTTTATTCATCAGCACGGGGTTGTTCCCACAGGAGCTAGTTGAAGTCTGAACGCCAGCTTTTCTTAGAGTTCCACCTGCCTGCCCCTAAGATCCCTCCTCAAGATGTGCGGACGCTAGCAGCTAGCAAGTAAGCTTGAGGCTGAGCCGGGAATAAGCCGATGCGGTCCATTAAGCGCCACGCGGGCGGCCTGCCCGCCTGTAACCCTTTGTTATTGAGTACAACCGAGAACTCTTCCTTCAATTTTGCCCACTTCTGCCGCTCGTCGGGTGTTAACTGGATCGAATGCCGCAAGACTGCCGCCTTTGCGAAACTGTCGAGACTGATTGCATGCGTATCTCCGCCGTTTCCTTCAGTGCCTCTGCACTGCATGAGAGTCCCCACACTCCGCTCTCCTTGGGGCACAGTTGCTGCTTCTCTGATCATAGAGGATGCAGATGCTGTTGAGAGCTCTGAGAGGCGCAAACTCTCACCACCTCCTGGCGCGAAGACCCATATGGCGTCATCAGGCGAACGCATTTGCGCGTTCCACTGGGTCGCCCACGGCATGCCAACGATTATCTTGTGGTGAACTGGTTCAACGCAGAAGCCCCTCATCATATTAATGCGCCCTGTTTTCGACCTAAGAGAGCAATTTACGCTGGTACGTTTGCCGACTCTTGCGCCCTGCCTACCATCTTCGAACCGTAGCCTCAGAGGTTGGGCCAACGAGTTGGTATGTAGGCTTCACCACTTTGCTGTGGCTTCTGAGATCAGATCCACTTCGCATCCCTTACCGATTGCGGCTAGTAACACTTGCCACTTAACACGTACTTGCACAAGCACTGAATTGACTCGGCGCGGATTTAGGCCTGCAGCCGTTACCTGTTGCGGCCCCATCACTGCGCCGCACGGAGTGTGGGGTCCCGACCGTTTCCCTGACTGCTCGTTCCCCTGGCGTCGCTCGTCGAGGTTTGCCTTCAATTCTTCCGTACCCATNACCGTTTCCCTGACTGCTCGTTCCCCTGGCGTCGCTCGTCGAGGTTTGCCTTCAATTCTTCCGTACCCATCTTCATAGGCCGGAAATCTCGAAGTACGTGACCCTATTTATTGCAAAAGAATAATATGCGCTGTCCGGTATATCGTTCTTCCTTTCTCGGTGTTGAATTCACGGTCTGCTGTCTGTTATTGCTTCTAAACTCCCTTTCGGCTGGTCTTGTATACACAGTCCAAATATCCGTAGGATCAAAATCAGGATCATCCGCAGGTCCGCTTGCTTCCTTCTCGGCTAAGGCTGTGGAAGTGGCATTTTTCCTTTCTTTTCTGCCAAGCTACCCCATCATGTCAGCAAGTTCCACTCATTCACCCATAATTTATTTCCCTGACCGCATCGCAGCCTGTTACTGATTGCCTCTCACCAGGGCAGAGCCCTGCTATAAACTAATTATAGAGCAGCTCCCGATCCACCATAGGACTTCAGTTAATCAAGGACTGACATTTCGCAGTGTAAAGCTCTATCGCGAATTCCCTTTGCTTAATTCTTCTCAGTTTTGCCATAGCCTGCAGACATCGAGATAAAGCTGCAGCGCAGCGCATTTCGGAAGGCCTGCATGGATCTTATNTGCCATAGCCTGCAGACATCGAGATAAAGCTGCAGCGCAGCGCATTTCGGAAGGCCTGCATGGATCTTATAGGCTCCGGCAAGGCAGAGCCTTTGCTTAAATATAGCCACCATAGCCGTGCATCCCCTTCTAATAAGGAAGAAGCTAGTAGTAACTGGAGTTCTTCCGGTCCATTTTGTAGGCGAAGGTGTAAGTCTAGGAAACTAAGGAGCTCGTCAACAGCATCTGTTTCCCGGTGCCCATCATATCGCTATTGACGGCACGCTCAGAGGCATTCATCCCCGATTACGTTTGGGAATGCAGTTTTTCCGGTTTTGGCTGCCGAAACACAGCTGGATTTTGCTCGACGAGGCCCCAGTCCGTCTTCCTTGTCCCCATCTGTGGGCGGGTTATAATCAATTTCCATTTTGCCGAAGGGTAATTGCTGAAATTTGAAGGAGAGCTTGCTTAAGGAAAGAAAATGGATTGTAATTTATTTCATGTTACTTTGTACTGTTTTTCAGCAGTGCATGAGGCCACCTTGTGGGGGTGGGGTTCCTTCACACAGCTGACCCGATAAATCACGCAGTGCTACCAAGTATAACGCTTGCTCTCGGGCCTTATCAAAGGAGTAAAGCGAGATGCAATGAAGCCAAAGACTTGAGCTCACCAGCCATCGTGGGCGTTCAGGCAGGTCCTGGGGTTTCGGGGGAGGAGGCAACCTGAAAGAACGTGCAGGGCGACAGGCTGCATTTTGGTGATGCAAGCATGCCTCACATGTGAGCACGAGAAAAAACGATGAAGCTTCCTTTACTGCATGCTGTATCGCTGTAGATATTTATGTAGCTTTTGTATTTGCGTGCAGGCTGCCTATCAAGGTCAGTTGAATGTTCCTGTGCTAACTGGAGGCAGACCATGCCATAGGAACTGTGTCGTCTTGAAGGATCCTCGCCACACCATATATATATTGTTTATATATAGTTATTTTGCTAGAGAGAGCATCGTTTGATTGGGTGCTGCAGCAATCCATATCTTAGGGTCTAGCTATTAGGGTTTAGGATTTAGGCGTTAGGGTCTATGGTTTTTCTCTTCGTTGCGTAGGCCATAGCTAAATCCCAGTAACATTTATTTCCTCTTATTGCTCTAAACCCTAAACCCTAGACCCTAGTCCCTACACCCTAAACTATAGACCTAAACGCCGTGAACGTAAAAGGCGTCTAGGTCCTAAACCCTATACACAAAACACGAAAATAATATGGTCTGCAAACCCTAAACCCTAAATTCTAACCCCTACAAGCTGAATTTAGAGCAGCGAAGAAGAGAGAAGGAACCAAAGAGGAGGATAGAACAAAAGAGAATATGGTGAAAGTGAAGAAACCAAATAATAAAAGAAATAAATAAAAGACAAACAAACAGAGAAGCAGACAAAGAACAAAAGACACGAAAACAACAAAGATAGAACAAATAAAAGGAGAAATACGGAAGAGGGATGGATGGAGGGACGTAAGCGCGAACATCTAAACAAGCAAAGACAGATTAACATGAAGAGACAGAGAGAAAGATAGAGAAGAATTAATGAGACAATAGTCGAATAAACAATTATTTGTTTGTGATTAAATTCCGTTTTTAAAACGAATAACTCAAATATAAAACGCAATAGGGACGGAAAGAAGATATAATAACGAAATCAGTTAAATATAAATTCGGCTGATGCGGCGCAAAATTAAAAAAAAATAAATAAACAAATAAATAAACTTGTTTATTTATTTATTTATTCCGACTTTTTATTTATACGCCTATAGTATGAAGTTTGGTGCAGTATAATTGTGAGAATTATATGTATATAAATAAATATAAATGCAATATATATATATATATATATATATATATATATATATATATATATATATATATATATATAATATATACAGANATATATATATATATATATATATATATATATATATATATATATATATATATATATATATAATATATGCAGATGGTGCTGCAGCAGGAGGTGCAACAGCAAGCGGTGCAGCTGCAGCAGATGATGCAGCAGCACGTGCTGCAGCAGCACGCACTGCAGCAGCAAGTCTTGCTACAGCAGATGCTGCAGCAGAAGGTGCTGCAGCAGCAGTTGCAGCTGAAATTTGTCACAAGCACCTCGGCATCTTCATCACTGCTTCCGCTGCAGCCGCTGGGTTTGTTGCTGCTGCTGCAGAAACATCCCAGCTGCTGCGGCGGTAGCAGCAGCAGCAGTAACCCCAGCTGCTGCAGCTACAGCCGAAGATACCTGTATGCCTAAACCCTAATCTGCTGCAGCGACGGAACGGAGATAAACAGACCGCTACCAAAGGAAACAATTCCATTTATACAACATCTTCATTTACCGAATATCATTGCTGCTGCTGCTGCTGCTGAATCAAACAGATGCACTTATGGTCTGCTGCTGCTGCCGCTTCTGCCGCTGCTGCTGCTGCTGCCGTCATCTCCCCAGCCCCGTGTTCCCCAATAGCCCTCAGGCGGGTGCAACTGCTGCTGCTGCTGCTGCTGCTGCTGCTGTTCATCAACAGAAGCAAAAGGAAAGGAGGGTTCTGGCGTTGGCGGAGGCAGAGGCATTCCGCTTTCTACACCCTTGAAAACTGTGGGCAGCGGCGGCTGATGCTGCTGCTCATCATCACCAGGAAAAAACGAGGGTTCTGGCATAGGTTCAGGCAGAGGCATTCCGCTTTCTACACCCATAAACGCTGACAAGGGGGCGCTGCTTTCTGGCTCTACACTTGAAACCGGGGAGAAGACGCCTCCCCATTCATCATCGTCTGCTACTGCTGCTGCTGCTGCTGCGGTTTCTTCTGCTCCTGCGTCTTGGGGGTATTGTGGAGGTGGGAAGAAAGGGGGAGAAGGATAGAAAGAATCTGAATAAGAGGGATGCCGGCCTGATTCTCCAGCAGTAAAAGGAGAATAAGAAGATGCAGCAGCAGCAGTAGCAGCAAACCGGCTGCTTGATGCTGCTGCCGACGAAGAAGTAGACAGAGGTATGGAGGCACCGGACAAACTGTCTCCCTCATCAGCAGCATCGCCAGCAGCAAGCGGTAGCCCCCAGGGTCCAGGTGTATATTGATGGGGATACTGCTGCTGCTGCAAAGGAGAAGAATAAGGATGATGCTTCTGTTGCTGCTGCTGCTGCTGCTGCTGATGCGGTGGTTGTGGGGGTAGCCCAAACCCTGGCAGAGGCCCGACACCCGGAAGGCTCGGCAGCAACCCTTGATGACCGCTCGCTTGACGGCTCAGCTGCTGCTGCAGCTCGCGTATCTGCTCCCCCACCTGCTGCAGCTGTAACTGCAGCAGCCGCAGCTGCTGCTGCTCCATCTCTTCCTGCTGCAGCTGCTGCTGCTGCATCTGCAGCTGCTGCAGCAGCTGCTGCTGCAGCAGCAGCAGCTGTTGCTGCTGCTGCAGTTGCTGCTGCTGTTGCTCCTCCTGCTGCTGCTGCTGCTGCTGCTGCTGCAGTTGCTGCCGCTGTTGCTGCCGCTGCTGCTGCTGCTGCTGTTGCTGCTGCTGCTGCTCCTGCTGCTGATGCCACTCGTGCTGCTGCTGGTGCTGCTTCTGCTGGTGCTGCGGCTGGTGGTGGTGGTGGTGCTGCTGCTGCTGCTGCTGCTGCTCGATCTCCTCGATCTGCTGCTGCAGTTCCTGCACTTGCTGGAGCTGCTCCAGTAGCTGCTGTCGCTGAAGCTCCTGCTCCAGTGGCGGCTCAAATGACGGGTGCGGGGAAGGCCAGCGTGCATGGACAGGAGGAGGGGGGGCAGAAAGATAAGATAAGGCAGCTATCTTGGTGGTGATACTAATAGTTAGCTGTTCAGTTAGCTGGCTAGCTAGCTGAAGAGCTACCTGGCCAACCTCGGGCGGTGCGCCAGGTGTAGTGGGAGCAGGAGAGGCAGCTAGCTCTGTAGCTAGCTTTGCTGCTAGCTCTTGAGCGAGCGCGGTAGATGCCTGGCTATCTGGCTGGCTCTCTTGCCAATGAGCATAAAGGGAGGGCTCCGACGTAGAAGCAGGAGCTGATCTTCCAGCCGCGGCAGCAGCAGCAGCTGCTGCTGCTGCCGCTGCTTCTGCTGCTGCTGCTGCTGCTGCAGGATCAGGAGGAGATAGAAGCGGAATAGAAGGAGGTCCGTCTCCCCCCGACTTAGCAACCACATCAGCAAAGGATCGCTTCCCAGCGGGAGAAGAAGAACCACCAGGAGGAAGCTGCTGCAGTTCTTGCTGCTGCTGCTGCCACGGTCGCTGCTGCGGTTGCTGCGCTGAAGGAGCAGGAGGAAACTGCTGCTGCTGCTGTTGCGATGGGAAGCGTTGTCGTGCGTACCCTCCTCGCGGCTGCTGCTGCCACGGTTGCTGCTGCGGTTGCTGCGCTGAAGGAGCAGAAGGAAACTGCTGCTGCTGCTGTTGCGACGGGAAGCGTTGTCGTGGGTACCCTCCTCGCTGCTGCTGCTGCCACGGTCGCTGCTGCGGTTGCTGCGCTGAAGGAGCAGAAGGAAACCGCTGCTGCTGCTGTTGCAACGGGAAGCGTTGTCGTGGGTACCCTCCTCGCTGCTGCTGCTGCCACGGTTGCTGCTGCGGTTGCTGTGCTGAAGGAGCAGTTGGAAACTGCTGCTGCAGCTGTTGCGACGGGAAGCGCTGTTGCGGGTGCCCTCCTCGCTGCTGCTGCTGCCACGGTTGCTGCTGCGGTTGCTGTGCTGAAGGAGCAGAAGGAAACCGCTGCTGCTGCTG